GGTTCAGCTATCTCCAATCCAACTTTTGCATTTTCAGCAAAATCTCTCTGCATCCATTAAAACTAGTATTACTAGAAGAAAAATATAAAACTAAGATTACACATAATAAATGGTCTAATTAGATTGAAATAGCATCATATGTATATATATATACCTCTATGGAATTGTTATTGAGAAGGCGATCGATAAGGTTACAAAGAATGTCCTTGTTGTATTCAGGATGGCCTTGGATCCCAAGAATATGATGCCCAATTGTGAACATCTCTACCCCAGTTTTGTCTGAAAATGCAATCACTTCAGCTCCTGCAGGAACCTCCCACACCTCATCTTGGTGGCATTCTATGATTGAAAGGGATGAGGGAATTTCACCCGATTCATCAATGATGCTACAGCAGGGGGATAAATCTTTCACCATCTTCACCTTTCTCAGCCCAATATCCCATCCAGTGAAAGCTTTCCCAACTTTCCCACCCAATGCCCTGCACAACACCTGCAAAACAAATCCCAACGATTGATGACTCTGTTTACCAGCTCTGATGCTATGTTAATAGATATTGCTAAATCGGGAAAATCCCAAATTAACTTTCTTACTTAGCGTTTAGATTGGATGATTTAAACGGAAATGTTTACCTGGTGACCGAAGCAGATGCCGAGGATTTTCTTTTCCATGGCATCCAGAGTTTGCAAGAGGAAGCAGAGCTTGAGAATCCAGTCGTCGTTCCCGTAGGCATCATAAGGGCTACCACTAACGATGAAGCCATCATACTCGTGGAGCTCGTCCATGGAAGGGAACTCTCCTTCGACAACCCTAAACAAGTCCCATCTTTCTCCTTCTTCCCCAAAAGCTGCAACGAAGACATTGAAGTAACCTCCATAGACTTTCTCCACGAATTCAGAGTCCCTCGCCGCAAGTAAGAGGGCGTATCTTTTTTCCCCAGTAACCTTCATAACAAGAGAACTTCTTAAGAAAACCGCGTTTGATCCGAGTACTTTGGAAAGAGAGAATTAATTAAGAAAATTGATGAAGAGGTGATTTGTGGTATAGGAAGATGAAGATAGGAAATGGGTGTTTATATAGGCGTTTTGATTTTGATTTTCCCCTGTGCTGGATGTGCCTGAAAAGAAAAAGGCCAAAAGCAAAGCCAAAAAGTTTCCGTTTGCGTTACTTGTTGACAGTTTACTTTCAACACGCGGTTTTTTGCTTAATCAGATCATATCTATCTAGAAATTAATAAACAGTGGTTGTTTAGGTGGAGAAAGCCTGCTGGGCCTAGTGGTCCAGCAGTTTAACCTAAACCTTCTGGTAAGGGTTTCATCCTCTCCCCACCCTGAATCACTTACCCTAATAATAAAAAAAGAACAGTGGTTGTTTAGATCAATTTTGAAAGTGGCCTTTCTATTGTATAAATTAGAGTTTGACCTGAACAGATTTTAAAATTGTTCCATCAACGGGGAGGACGTAGAATTGTTTCCATTTGTTTTAGAGAAAAAAATATGTAAGTTGGAGTTTAACAATTTTGACTTCTCTTAAAAAAAATTATAATATGTTTAGTTTAACAATAGGTAAATTATTTTAAAAGTGTTGAATTATAACTTATATAATATACATATAATAAATTAAGTAATATTAATTTGTAATCAAATGAAGCATTAAAATGATTGAATATGAATAATATGGTTATGTGGGTGAGTGCATCTCGGTGGTGTAAGCATGTCCTCTTCCTTCTGGGAAGTAAGAACAACCAGGTCACCAGGGGTTGGCAGCACAAATGACTTATATATAATAATTTGTAAAAATTAATTGTATATGTTTTTGGAAGCAAGGAGGAGTTTCCATGTAAATTCCCCTTTGTGTAATCCATGCGTGGTTTCGTGGATGATTATGTTTATTGTTTCTTGTAAAGGGGCTTACGTGACTTAAGCGGTACAATTTTAGACATACATTGAAAAGAAAAGAATTTAGCCTGACTGGAAACTGGAAGACATTCGGCAATAATCCTTGCTACTTCTACCTGATCCAGGTACATAACAGATGTTGAATAGTTTGCAAATGTTAAGGTCCCACATCAAGAAAATATGAGAAGTTAAAGGAATTTATAAAGGCTTATTTGTTATCAACAAATAAATAAATAAAGTGAAATCCAAAATAAATTGGGTCTTGTCCTTTATATATAGTCAAAGATGGGCACTTGGGGCTTGACTTCCAAAATATTTATTTTTTATTTTTAGATTTTTAATTTAATTTATTAAATTTTAATATGAAAAGACATGTCTGAATATTAGATAACTTTTGGAAGTCTAAAGGTACCTCTATGAAATGGTATCTTTCTGAAAAGATACATCCCTACAAGTAGTGGCTTTTCAATCAATATAAATTCCTATGCAAAATCAAAGTTCTACATCTAGTTTTTGAGAGAGTTTGAGTTCTGTTGTATCCTGAAAGATTTTTGAATTCTTAAAGAGAGTGAGATCACGCCTCAGAACTATCTATTTTTTTCATTCTGATAATCCTTATCTATAACAACAGATGTATAAGTGGTGGAACCAGTTTGAACAAGGTTTAGGCACAGGCCAAATCCTTGTCCCCAAGAAAGATTAGAAAGGCACTATCTGGGCAATTAGGCCCTAAGTTTCTTCATTTTTCAAATTAAAGACAAATTTTAATTAATCTTAATTAAGGATGTCAAGATAAGGCCCTGTGCCTCACCCTTGTCCAAATTGGTTTCGCCTCTGACTTTATCCTACTTAAGCGTACAAATTCGAAACATGTATATCAAGCAAGGAATCCCTCTGCTTTCAAATAATGAGACATCCTCTAATTCCGTCCCTCTCTCTAATATATTATGTACTTTTCACTAACAATGTAAATGATGTTCTCAAATCAACTTACATGCACTTTAAAACTCTTTTTATGATAAAAGTAAATGAGTAAAAATATTTTATGCTTTTATCAATTCACACGTGTTTTTAATTTTTATTTCATGTGAGATTTTTTTCATTTAATATTAGAGTACCTGATTACGAACGAGTTTGGTTGAGAAGAAAATTCTCCAAACATGAATTTTCTGTAACATGGATCGATGTCCCATTTTCGGATTGCGATTCATCAAGCTAGGCGAGGATCTTGAAAAATATTTGGGCAATGGAAAAAAAAAAGTGCTATGTCCCTCTCACATTATTGCAAATGGGGCAGAACTGGATTCTGAATTTTCTCGCCCTAACTTATTCTCTCTGCATGCTGCAATGGTCCTGTTCCAAATTCTGCAAAGGAATAGAACGAATCTTCACGTGTTCTGAATGTATCTTCCTCTAATCTGAGGAACATGCATATATAATGAATCGTAAATAGTTGTTGTAGTACAAATTTAGATGGGTTAATTCTCCCTAAACATTTCCCAAGTATTGGGTTCTGATTCCTCCACATTGAAGTTGGATTATTCAATACTCCAAATCTAATGGATCTTTTGAAAATTATGTTTGCTTCCCCGTGAAGCTGATTCTGTTCCCATTTGCTAGAATAGGTAATGACTAAATGTCACCAAATCTTTATTTTTAACCATTTATATCATGAATGCTTTTAGTGGACACCCTTAACCCTTAGCCTCCATTTCACATTAATATTCAATACAATGAACATGAAGATGATGTTTTTAGTGATTCCAATGCATCTTTTACCCCCCAAAAAAAAAAAAAAGAAAAAAAAGAAAAAAAGAAAAAGAAAAAGGGATTCCAATGCATCTATTGTCGGCCGTGTACCATCTACATTTGTTTGAATTATAATTCTTAAATTCGAGTACAAAAATAGGTGAAGATGCATATTTTTTTTAAAAAAAAGAAGATTATTTTATTTTATGTTGTAGAGCAAAATTTATGCACAAGATACGCTCGAAGATTGTAGATGCTTCCCAAGGGACAATGGACATGGATGAGAGATATTAAAAGCTTTGGGCCTTGACTACACGTAAAACCATCGTCAATGAGGCTCATCTTCATAATTGCTTGTGTTTGGGCTGGTTGGGCTCTCAAATAAGAGCCCTGGATGAATTTGGGACCATAGCCTTGTTTCAAAAACCGATGTGGTCCATCAAATACATAAATATATTTACAATATTATATAAATTATAAATTTATAATTATAAAATATTATTAAATAAATATATAATAATATTTTTTTTTTTTTTTAAAAATTATCAAGAGGTGAGTTCGAAACTCGTCCATATAAAAGAAAGAATGCACCTTAAACTGGTAGGGTATTAATTAACTCGAAAAATCAAATGTAAATATATAATATTATTAATAAATACTCAAATAAAAAAATTAATCATAATATACCATAATTATAAATATATTATATTATATTATATTATAAATATATTATTTTAAAAGAAAAAAAATATATAATTACTAAAAGATTAAAGGGTACCCCATTTCCTCCCATGTAATGCGACGTGTCTCATCATGACGAAATCATCTTTTGATTTGAGCCTTTATTTCACTTTCCCCCAGTCGCCAGAGAAATACGGCTATGCAGGCTGGAGCCCCCAGAAAAAGCCACCACTTTTGTCCAAAAAAAGTGTCTCAGATTGGCCCCTTTTTTGGCCCCATTAATTAAAAACAACACGCACAAATCCCTTTCTTCTTCTTAATTTTATCAATCATCTTTTCTTACAAGTCCGCAACAGACTAAAACAGTCGTCTGCACTTCTGCTCTGCAGGTAACTAGTTGCCTCTGTTTCTCCTGCAAATATTCATGTGAGCTTTTAATTAAGGGCTAGAATATAATTTCAGTAAAGGCATAACAATTAATGGGTCAAGAAGCATCGCCCCAGCCTACCTTAAGATGGGCTTTAATTGAAAATTAGAACCAACCCAAGAAGCCAAGGCACAGGAGCATGATTTGCTGGGACTATGGTAATTTTCCTGTTTTACCAAAAAAAGGAAAATTATGGTAATTTTCCTCTCATTTGGAGAATTAGGATCATGTTCTCAAATAGCATTAACTAGACATTGTATGCGCGGGTAAGTTGTATCATTGTGTGGTTATAGGTTAAATAAGTTAGATTAAAACAAGTTTGAATTTTATTTTTTAAATTGTGACCCCACCCACATAATTACATTATGAGTCAAATGAATGTGATCAAATAGATATTGGGTGATCAAGAGTTTTATGCATGTCTTATTTTAAGTGGGTGGGTTGAGTAAGGTTGGCAAATTGAGACAATTTTTATTATATTAGGTTGGTAAGAAAAAATTGCCTCTTATTTTATTTCTACTCATCATAGTTATTTTACAAGATATAATATAATTAATAATTAAATCAAAGAAAATATGGTGAATTAGTTCTGTTCAATCAATGTTCTAAAATTTCAATCATAAACATGTGATTGAATTAATTAAAATCTAAAGAAAAGTTGAACCATCCCTTATGAATTTATGGCTTTATTATTGTCACCATCTTCAACAGAGACTCTTCTTTTGCCAATGTCAAAAAAGCTTAGATCCGAACCTTCCAGTAATTGGATGTAATAATGATAAACGTACGCCTTTTATTTTGATTTCTTCATCAACCACAAATTAAAAGGATGGAATGTTTTTCCTTGTCCAAGTCCCCCCCCCCCCCAACCCCCTTCTCTCTCTCTCTAAAATTAAGAAGCTTCAGTATTGTACGTACTGTTATAATGCAGCAGTGCAGTGCATGTTGGGTTGTTTTCTTTGTATGTCGTCTGCACTAGAAATTAAAGGTTAAAGTTATCCACACAAAAGCAATATGATTCGTACTTGATATTTAGAAAGATTGTCGCCGAAAAACGATTAATATATCTTTCTAGAACAAAAATTATTAATTCCAATTCTGTTTCTGTCTTCTTCTTCTTCTTTTTCTTAATTTTAAATTTTTGTCCATGCTTATTTCTAGCAATAATTTGAAAGTTCAAACTCTATATAAAAAAAAAAAACACAGAAAGCACTCTTATAATTCGTTTAATTTGAGAAAAATGAAAGGCATGAGAAGAAAAATTTTTGTCTAAGTCAAATTAAAATTAAAATCTTTTTCTCCCCTCTCATCCATTTCTCTTAAGACCAAAGAAACCAAACCATCCACCATTCTTGCACGAAAGACCATTTTTCTTTTCTTGGTAATCATATTCTTCTTTTTCTTTGATTTGGGTGATTATTTTTGGAATTGGCTTTACATGTTGATAAACTTTAATCAGGGCCGTCCGATCAGAGATTCCTGATTCAATTCATTCCGGTATTGGTTTAAGAGCTGTCCAACTTCCTCCTGGGGCATACCACTCTTTTCTCTTTCTGCATTTTTTCCTGAAAAAATAAATCTTTTTTCTCTTTCTCTGGAATCTGAACTTTTCTTCAAACATTCTGTCTCTTGTTGTTTATCTATCATGATAATCTCGACTTTGGTGGTTCTTTTTGAGATGGGCAATTTTTAAGGGGAATTAGAGGTACGATTTTCAAGTAATACATATAGGAGTTGGACCATAAATGAGAATGGAGCTGGCAATCTATGAGCTTTAATCTTTTAATTTTGGGTTATTGGACCATTTTTGGCCGCTAGCCGGTCTCCCCACCTTGGTACGGCTCACGTTCCTCGAATTACAACCATACCCTTATA